CTTTCCATTCTTTGATTTTCAGTCTATGAATTTCTTTTTAAGTTAAATATGTTTCTTTTGTACAGCATATTGCTGGATCTTGTTTCTTGATCCACTCTGCCAGTCTGTTTCTTTTGATTGGTGAATTGAGGCCATTTACATTGATGGCTACAAGTGATATGTATTGGCTTATCTTGGTCATGGTATTTTTCTGCTATTAGATTCCTACTTTTCCTCTCTGTTTAATTGCTTACCCTGCCTGGTGGTTTCTATCCGTGGTTGTTCTTGGAATTGTCATTTTTGTCTCTGTCTAGAATATCTTTTAGAACTCTTTGTTGCATTGGTTTGGTGATCATAAATCTCTTCAGTTGTGCTTTGTCATGGAAGTATCTTATTTCTCCCTTAATTAAGAAGATATTTTTGCAGGGTACATCAATCTGGGCTGGAAGTTGTTTTCCTTCAGGACTTGAGATACTTCACTCCAAGCACTTCTTGACTTGGGGGACTGTGTTGAGAAGTCTGCCATGATTCTGATGGGCTTCCCTTTATAGGTGCTCTGTTTCTTTTCTCTAGTAGCTTTTAATATTTTGTTCTTGTGCTGAATTTCTGGAATCTTGATTATTATATGTCTTGGTGTACTTTTATTTTGCTCAGGATTGCTTCATTCATTTGTATGTCAAATTCTTTATCCACACTTGGGATGTTTTCTACCATTATTTCTGTGAAGATAGTTTTATGTCATTTGTGCTATCTCCAGATTTCCCATTGACCCCCAATCAATTTTATTTTATTCTTTTCTGCTCCATCTTACAGCTGTTGGTTTGATTTTTCATGTATCTTGCTAATTTTAAGATATCTTTCTTTTCTTTATCCCTGGCTGTAATTCTCTCTTTAAGATCTGATATTGTCTCCTCTTTTTCATTCAACCTGTTGTATGTACTTTCAGTGGAGGTTTTAATCTCTTGGATTTCTATTTGACTCTGTTTCATGGGTTCTATTTCTTTCCTATGTTGGGCATTATTTGTTTCCATCATTTGTCTAAGTTCATATACTCT